AGAGAAGGCAGCAAGCTCGTTTTCTGTGCCCGCCCCCGCCAGCAGGTAGGCTTAATCGGACGTTATAGCCCCAGGGTGCTTTTGGGAGTATCAGACTTTGGCCAAGAAGAGGTACAGACGTGGTACCTTTGGATGTTTTGCGGTTGGTTCATGAACAGCTGTTGAGCCCTGTTGGGCTGGTATACGAGGCTGTTTCTCCTGCTCAGGCATTCCTGCTCTGAGCTGGTTTTCTGGATGTATAGATTTTGGGACCCAGCGGGTAGTGGAATATAGTTCCACCTGGAGATGGTTTGAGCCCTGCGGCCTCCCTCCCCTCTAGGCAGGCGAGCTGGCAGACGGTTCTTCTTTCTTTGTTTATTAGAGCTGTCGACCTAATTCAACAGAATTTGTTCCCCTTATTCGAGGAAGAGCACTGGTCTTTGACAATTCTACCCCTGGGAGAGCATATAGCCACAATCTGTTTTTCTGTGTGTGGGTCGTGGTTCCTGTGGAAGGTTTGGTGGATTGATACGTGGCTCCCACCCAGGCCTTAGGGACTGGGGAATTAGCTGAGGTGACTAACGCTGAAGCTGCTGTTCTGGGGCCATTTCCAAAACATGGCATTTGGGCCCAGGATGGGGTGGGAATGTGGCTTCTGGGGTGGTTTTGTGGCTTGGTACATCAGTTCCTCCTAGTCTGACGAGAGGGGTGAATCTTACCATGTCTGGCTGTCTTGCACAATGTTGGTTTCATATTGGATAGAGAGAGGCATGAATAAAACAAAATAATAGTGACTCATTTTGATTCATGGCTCATCAAGGTCGACAAATCACAAATCCGGTGGGAATGTGGCTTCTGGGGTGGTTTTGTGGCTTGGTACATCAGTTCCTCCTAGTCTGACGAGAGGGGTGAATCTTACCATGTCTGGCTGTCTTGCACAATGTTGGTTTCATATTGGATAGAGAGAGGCATGAATAAAACAAAATAATAGTGACTCATTTTGATTCATGGCTCATCAAGGTCGACAAATCACAAATCCTGGGTAGCTGGCTCATGGTTGACTCAGCCTTTCATCCT